GAAATGTTTGCTCAGTAAACTTATGGATGGAATTTCTAAGCCCTAACCTACACTTTTGAGCCTGTAGTTCCATTTCATGGATTTCCTAATAGAAATAATGGATTGAATGGGTTCCTTGCCACTCTTGTTTTGGGGCTATTTTTCATTTTTCTGCCCTGGGTTACAGTTCAGCCCCATGTGTTAGTAAAGCTGAGGGTGTGGTAGAAAGGAAGCTTTCCTCTGTAGGTAACTGTGTGTTTTCAGTTTCAGCCTCATCCTCTGCTCCACCCTTTTCCTCTATTTTTTTTCTCACAGCTAACTTGGCCCCAAAACTAAGCCAAGACTTTTTTACCTTTATCTCTCTGTTATAGGAGTTTTGTATTTTAGACAATTTCTGATGGATTTTTGCCCACCTCGCTAGCATCTCGTATTGCCTCCAAGGATCTGCTTGTTCAAACCAAAACTGAAAGACTGAAGGGAGGGATACCAAAGGCTTCGGTGTGCAAATGAGCTCCACCATGCCTTGTTCTTGATAAAAATGCTCCATCTGAGGTTTACAGCATGGGAGGCTCTCAAGGCTCTGTCTTAGTCATATTTGCTCTTGTCAGTTATTTACCTTTGTCCTTAATTTCAGGTTTAACAACTTGCAGTGGGACATGAAAAACTTCCAACTTGTTTTTTTTTGCTTAGATCTGACATGCCTAGTGGGAGGTAAAACTTGAATATGCATGTAGCTTTGCATTTTGATGTACAGAAAAATAGCTGTAATCTGCAATATGTATCTGTGCTTAGGGAGACACCTGATTTTCTACAGGGTGCTGATGAAAAGGAAACCACCACATGGAACTGAACTTTTTTTACATGGACAGTGTCCCTCCTTCTTAACTATTAACTGTCCTTTTTCTCTTCTCATTTCACAATGCCACAGGCCCATGAATACACTGATGCTCAAAGGCCAGTTCAGTTTTGCTGAAATTCACTCCTGGGTTGTGTTTTGCTTGCCTGAGGTACCTGAAAAGACTCCTGCTGGAGAGTGCATCACCTTTTATTTTCAGAACACTTTCCTGGGAACACAGCTTGAAAGTACCTACAGGTAAAATAGCATTACTAAACCTAATGCATGCATGTGTGTTCAAGTTCATATATTTTAAACTGTTCTTTTATAGAAAAGGTGAGGGATATTTTAAATCTGACAACATCTCTACAATATCCATCCTCAAAGATGTGCTTTCCAAAGAGGCTACTAAAAGGAAGATTAATCTCAACATATCATATGGTAAAAATTTTTCTCTATTTTCTTGTCCTTGAGTTCATTTGTTATTCCCATAAATGGAATATGTAGTACTCATTTGCTTGTTGGGGTTCTTTTTTACTCCCTGCTAGATGTAAATGAAGAATCTGTAAGGCACACATTAAAGCTTATCCACCCTAAATTAGAGTATCAGCAGCTGCTGGCCAAGAAGGTGCACTTAATAGATGCTTTGAGAGTAAGTACCTGAAATCTTGGGGTTTGATCTTTATGGGGGGTTATGCTGTCAGATAAACTAAACCATGGCTCAAGTCAGGTGTGTGTCATTTGGGGTCTGTTCCCTTAAATTAAATTCAAGCATGTATTGCAAGTGTCTAGGAGAGAAATTTCTTCAATGAAAATTCTCTTTTTTACTGTATAACTAGTGAATAACATGTAGGATTATTGAAGATGCTTAAATTGGATGGTAGGAGGGCAGCCAGCTTTATCATCTAATGTTCTCTCCTAGCCTGCTGTTATTTTCCAGCTCTTTCTGTCCATCTTCCCACTAACATTTATAGTTTTTTAGGTCACCCAGGCCAGATGCAACTTCTTTGCTTTGGAACTTCATCCCAGTGTCTCATAATGTCTAAATCATCTGCTTTTGAATCTTTTGCTTAATACCTTCCTCAATAGCCTTTGGGAGGTACCAGTTAGGCAGCTCATCTCAGCTCTTAGACTTTTTTCCCCAACAACCAGGATTTTCCTGTCAAAAGGTCACTATCATCGAGTTGGCATTTATTATTTAAGGGGAGGGGAGGTGAAAATGTTCAGCCAGTTCTCTTTTGTCCTTTTGGGGGACTCAAATACTTGTCAGAGCTCTTAAGATAGCAGAAAAGCTGGCTACCAGTGAGAACAGTGTGAATCTTTATTATCACTGAAAGGGTTTTACTTGGGCTTGGTTTGGGATTTAAGCAATATTTTTTGGGCAAACCAGGGATTTAAACAATAATAGAGAATTAATTCTTATTGCACATTGTCTTTGTGCAATAATAATGGTGTTGTGCATCTTGCTTGTTTTAGACATCAAATCTTTGACGAATTTTTCAGTCATTCATTTTTTGAATGGTAACTTATTGACAGGCAGTAAAATCATCTAATGATGGATGAAAGCTGTTTTCCCAGCAGACTCACAGTGCACAACATCATTACCTCTTGTCTAGAAGAGAAGTGCCTTTCTCTGGAGGATAAAAAGATCTGTACTATCAACCATCCCAGACTGGTGTGCTGATAGACTGAGGCTTTTTAGAAGAGGCATTCAAAACTTTTTGCTGTCACAAGTTGAGTGATACTTTCAGAGTTTACTTTGACCTTCAGACTTCACTGAATGCTAGACTTTTTTAAGAATTCACTTATTCTAAAAATGAAGGTATGGTCAAGGCTTGAGTCTGCATGGTGTGATCCTGTTCTGGCTCAGAGCTGGAAGCTGAAATAAAGCAGGATTTTGAGAATCCAGTCTATGAAGTGACACCAGGCATTTCATTAGCAGACTAGAAAATGAGGCACTCTGAAAATAACACTTGCTAGTTTAGAAGGGGATTGTCTTCCCTTTGAAGTACTTTGTTTGACATATCTAAGCTTCATTTCTTCTGCCTTAGCTGCTCTTATGATACTTACCTGCTGTTAGTTCTTACCATTTTAAACTGTCTTTGAGGAATTACAAGTCCATGAAGGCAATGTGGACTTCCTGCTCCCAAAATACCGCAGCATTTTGGAAGAGGCAGATCAGCTGCTGGAGGAATACAAGAGACAACCTGCACATCTCGAGAGACTTTATGGTTTGTTGACAATTCAGCTTTATTTAAATGGGGCTTATCATCCAGAGACATGGCTGAAATAGCTGCTTATATTTAGATGATTCTTGTCTTTATGGACATGGTTAAAGATGGTGTTCAAATTCAGGATGGCACTTAAGAATGTATACAAGTTAAGTGGCTTGGATTTGTTTACAATTAAACCATTGTTTAAAATGTCAACTTTAAAAACTCTTCTAACTGGAATATTTGGTACATAATCATGAGTTAAAAGTAGAGATACCTCCTACTGAAAATAATTCCTGGAATTTTACCTTTACAGGTATGATCACAGACCTCTTCATAGATAAATTTAAATTTAAAGGCACCAATGTGAAAACCAAAGTTCCTCTCCTTCTGGAAATTCTGGATGGCTGTGATCAAGATGGATTGATCGCTTTTTTTGATGCTGCCTGACAAGGAAAAAGCAGAGTAATTTTTCTGGTTTTAACCAAGGCATTTCGGTATCAAGTCAAAACCACTTTTACTCTTTTGTTGTACTGTCAGTTCTTAGGTTTTATTCATATTTATTACCATATTGGATACAGTAGGAAACTTCATATAAACTGTTGTGCATGTTAACTGTGTGCAGAGGTTTTACGTATGTACAGTGTTAATAGCTCAAGAAAGATCAGATGTAAATACCAAACATCCTTTTGGCAAAAATGTTTTCACTACTGTTTAGGATGACTTGGAGTAGCCTGTCCCCCAGCTGCAAGAATGGATGAAGAAACTGGTTTCCAGAAACTTGGATGGATTTGGAAGAAATCTGTGTATTTAAGCTGTACCTAACTTAGTTTTTCCTGTCATGTTGAGAATGTGGTGTGAGAATCTCACCAGACTTGATGTAGCTGGTGTGTACAGAGGGGGGAGAACTCTGAATTTTAGACTGATGACAGCTCCATTTAAAGCCACATTTGTTTAGGAATGGATGGCATTAAACTTTCTCAGTGCTTCTCCAGCCTCCCTGTGCTTCATTTCAAAACCCCACCTGCTTTCTCACTTGGTTTTATTTAAAATTAGAAGAAATGAAGCAGCCAGCGGAGACAGAGATCTGTTTGCAAGTCAAAGATCAACTCCATTGAAGTGACATAGAATCACTAAGGGTGGAAGAGACCTTTGAGATCATCAAGTCCAACCACCAACTTGTCATTATCACTGAAACCCCTAGACCACATCCCCCAGCCCCATATCCAGACACCTCTGAAACACCTCCAGGGCTGGTGCCTCATCCTAACAGTGGTCATTTTTTTTCCTAATTGTCTCGTCTGAGGATGAGACAGGTTACCTGGAGAAGCTATGGATCCCCCATCCCTGGAAGTGTTCAAGGCCAGATTCAATGGGGCTCTGAGCAGCCTGGTCTAAGATGAAAGGTGTCCCTGCCCAGAGCAGCAGAACACGAGTACCTTTGTGGTCTGCGATTCTTTGATAATCGAAAGATTATTATGGTCTCATCCTGAGGCCATTTCCTCTTGTCGCCGCGCTGCGGGCACCTGACTCTCATCGCGTTTCAGAGAGCTGGAGAGAGCGAGGAGGTCTCGCCCTGAGCCTCCCTTTATCCCGGCCACCCCCCCCATCTCCCGGGACACGTTCAGGAGCCCGGCTGGGCAAGCTCCAGCTCGCTTCCCACACACGTTTCCCGGCGGGAACGCCCGAGACTCTTCTCTCCCTCCCTTGGGCGGGCGCGGGGCCTGCTGTCCCCGGCAGCCGCGTTCCCTCCCCGTGGGCTCCCCGCCCTCCGCGTCCGCCCGTGTCTGGCTGTCCGTCCCTCTGTCCGCCCCATCCGGCGCGGCCGTGACGCCGCGCTCGCCCATTGGGCGGTTCAAGAGTCGCGGGCTACTTGAACGGCGCGGGCGGCTCCAGGCGCGCCCGTCCCCGGCCCCGCCGCTCCGGCCCCGCCGTCCCCTCCGCCGCGCTCCCCCCCGGCTCCTGCTGCGGCCATGCTGGCGGAGCAGGAGAACCAGGAGAACGTGCCCCCGCCGGCGGCCGGCAAAGCCGCGGCGCCGCCGCCCGCCGCCGGCACCCGCGTGGCGCTGGGGCTGCTGCGGGGGGCGCAGCAGCGCGCCGGGATCCCGCTGCAGGTGAGGGGGGAGCGGCGGGAGCGGGGTGGTGTGGAAGGGGCGGCGGCGGGAGCTGTCAGGGCCCGGCGCTGACGGCCGCTCTCCCCACAGGCGGCGCGGGGCGGCTGCGAGGGCCATGGAGCGGCGGCGGGGTTGCAGCAACACCAACACCAGCCCTTCTCCGTCCATGTGGACGAGCCCGACGGGGAACGGGAGCCGCGGCGGCAGCGGGGTGTCCCGGCCGGGCAGAAGGAGGAGGCGGCGCTGGGGCTGCGTGCGGCCGTGTGTACCCTGGGCGAGCGGCGGCCCCTGGCTCCCCTGGGCAACGCCATGGAGCTGAGCTTCGGTACGTGAGAGCTCGGCCCCGGGGCGCCGTGCAGGCCGCGTCCCACCTGCTCCCCTCAGGGCCCTGCCTGCCCCCGGGCAGCGAGGAGGAGCTCGCCCAGGGAAGGGCTCCCAGAGCCAGCTGCAGGGCTGCGGCCTGGGACGCGGGCTGGTTTGGTTCCTTTGAGCCTGCCACCAGGATGCAACAGCTCTTCCATGCAGCTGAGCCTCTGCGTTCTTATCCCCTGCTGTTTTAGGCCGTTTTGTAATTTATAGCTTTAGCTATCAGTACTTCATGAGAGAAGCCAGATTACAGACAAAATCAACCCATAAAGCCTCGCCCTTTGCTACCACTACAGAGTTAGAAAGGGACTTTACCCAGATCCCAGGATGTAAAAGGTTTTTCTGCCAGTTAGTGGTGCAAGTGTTTTGAGCTCTTTCCAGTATGTGAAAAATGGGAACTGCCAGATCCATCTTCTGTAGCACGTGTCTGAATATCTGGGGGCTGGTTTTTCTCCGATCCGCTTAGGGAGGCTACAAAGAGCTCCGGCACCCCTGCCCTGTTTTAAGACACAATCTAAGCTTGCAGGATCCACATCTATGTTACAAGGTAACACAGGGTGCACTGAGCACTACATAATTGCAAGAGAGTTTTCCATCTCTTTATTCTTAGCGGGAAGAGGAGAAAGGGGAAGGGGAAAACTTCCCTGTTGCCCCAACATTTCACTTTCGTAGAGCCTCCCCAACTCCCAGTCCAGCTGAGTGAGCCTGCACAAGGTTCCCTGTGCTGTGAGGAAATGATGTGATGGTGCCCATTTTAACATGGCTGTTATCCTCTGCTTAGATTCTCCAAGTATTATGGATATGTCAATAACCTCAGAAACAGAAGAGAAAGCACCAAACGTTAATAACGTGCCAGACTATATCAGTGAAATCCATTCATACCTGAGGGAAATGGAGGTGAGCTGCTGTCCCTTTTCTTATTTGCATACAGCCCATGGGGGAAGAGTTTGGGGTGGAGAAATGTATCTGAACATGAGTTACCAAGACAGTGACTAAATTAGAGCTTGCTAGAAAGGGAGAAATAAGAGCACGGGACTGGTTTATTGTGATAAAGTTTATTGTGCCACGCACAAGCTGGGAAGCAAGATTACAGAAATAGAACTTACTGATCCTAAACTCACCAGTGTTTACTTCTGATTTGTTAAACTGTGATAAATGGAGTTTAAACAGTTGCTTCCCTACCAGCACGTGGTCCAGCCTCAACTCTTATCTGTCATCTAAACCTACAGGTGAAGTGCAAGCCCAAAATAGGTTACATGAGGAAGCAACCTGATATCACAAACAACATGCGGGCTATTCTTGTGGACTGGCTGGTGGAAGTTGGAGAAGAATACAAATTACAGAACGAAACCCTGCACTTAGCTGTGAATTACATTGATAGGTTTCTTTCTTCCATGTCTGTTTTGAGAGGGAAACTTCAGCTTGTGGGTACTGCAGCTATGCTGCTCGCATCGTAAGTGAAATTGCTTCATTTCAAGTTCCACCTGCTGGTTTCATAGAGATGAAAATCTTGTGGCTGTTCTGTTGCCTAGAGCAGGACTGACTTGGGAGGGCTTCACAGTAGGATAAAAATCAGGAGTTATCCACCTAAAAGCTTGGCAGTTATCTTTGAAGTTTGCCCCTAAAGTGAGGATCTGTTATTTCCAGCTGCAGCTGTTGGCATCTAAAACAGTATTTGAGGGAATATGCCTAAGGCATGTGAAAAGCAAGTTGTGCTTGCCCCCTTTGCTAACTCAGTGGGTTACTCTGGAGTTTCAGTGACTCCAGGTACTAAATTCCTTAGTCCTGAATTTTGCTGTTGTAGCTCTAATTTCAAATCCTGGTGATTCAAGAGCTACTGAACCAACTGCAGCAAACTTGTTTGGCACCAGTGCCCAGCTCCTTCCCAAGTCAGAATTTAAATGAGCATTTCATTGAATGTTGGTGGTTTTCTAGTACTCAATTATTTACTCATAAACGTTTCTCCTGGCAGAAAGTTTGAAGAGATCTACCCTCCTGAAGTAGCCGAGTTTGTCTACATCACAGATGATACCTACACCAAGAAGCAGGTCCTAAGGATGGAGCACTTAATTCTGAAGGTTTTGTCATTTGACTTGGCAGCTCCAACAATCAACCAGTTCCTCACCCAGTACTTCCTACACCAACAGACAGATGCTAAAGTGGAGAGCCTGTCCATGGTAAGTAGGAATTCCTAGCTCAGCTCATGTAATTAGAGAGTCTTATTGCAGATACTTATTGCACATGTATGTATATATGTCTAACTTATGTACACCTTATGAATTGGGCTCCTCCAGAAGTGGTGCCCCACTGCTGGGAACTAACACTCCTATTGCCACTTTCTGTTTGGGATACTCCATTCTTATCAGAGGCTGGCACTTGGCCTGGCTCAAGCATGCACCCTTATTCAGAGGAGGCAGAGATTAATGAACTTGAAATTGGGGCTTGTTGCACTGCTAGATAGATGTTTCCCTCTCTCTTATCTACAGCTGCCACACCTACCCCCACACACTTTGGCAAAAAAGGACTTTTGGTTTGGTTTTCTCCTCAACCAGCAGCAAGCTTTAAATCCAGAGACTAATTTCTAGAGCAGAGCACAGATAACTTTCAGCTGAAGTTATAGTAAATCCTAGCTCTCTGGTAGGTACTGGAGGTCCTAAACACAAGTCTTTGTCTTTCTGTGCAAAGGTCAGACCTGAATAATACTCTTCCCTCTAGTTCTTTTATGTTTGTAAATATAAAATGTACTGGGAAAGCATGTGTTGGGAATGCTGTTTGGCAGTAGCTAGCAGGAGATGCTTAAAGACAAAGTAAGTGGAAACTGATAAAAGATGTCCTTCCAGCTGATGGCAGGATTGGAAGCTCAAGTTAGGGTTCTAGAGCAGCTGTTAACTTTTGGAAGGAGATGATTCCCTTTTTCATTTCTCTTGCAGTACCTGGGAGAGCTGAGTCTAATTGATGCTGATCCTTACCTGAAATACTTGCCATCAGTTATTGCTGCTGCAGCATTTCATCTGGCAGGTTACACACTCACTGGACAAAGCTGGGTACGTAGCATTCCAGCGTGAGCCTTCACAGGCCTCTGTGTGTGCTCAATGTATTTGTACTCAGTTCTGAGTGCTGGGCCTGGGCTCCAGGAATTGCAGCCCCTCTGTGCTCCTGGACTCTTAATTAGGGATTGCTCCCTGTGGCATTTGAAAAATGGGGTGGCGGGGGTGAGGTGTAAATATGGTTCAACGGGAAGCTGAAAATTCCACCACTGGCGATCAGCATAAGTGAACAGCAACATTCAAATGTCCCTCACCCTTTCTTTTTTCCCCTCAGCCTGAATCCCTGTGCAAAGTAACGGGCTACACCCTTGAAGACATCAAGCCTTGCCTCATAGACCTACACAACACCTACCTCAAAGCAGCCCAGCACACACAACAGTCCATAAGGGAAAAGTACAAGAGTACCAAGTGAGTACCTGTGGAGGTGTTAATGTCTGATTTGTCCAAGCATGTAAGTGCCTGGCAGGGTGCGGGTGTGGGATACATATATCTTTTGAATCTTCAGGCAGACTCAATTAACCAAGTTCACCTCTTCAGTGAGAGGGTGACAAGACTCCTTGGGTTTTTTACATGGTGGTTTGTCAGGCAATACTTTCTCTTGCTGCCTGAACTGTCAGGTAGAAACTGGAGGAATTTCCTTGACATTCCTACAGTTGGGTGATACTTAATGCTCCTGAAAATCTGCATGGGGCATGGCAGCCAACAAGCCCCAGAATGTTTCCTGCCTGCCTGGTAGGAAATGTGCTTTGCTGCAGTTATGCTGCTCTTTGTGGCAAAGAGCTCTTGAGCAAGATGACATCCTGCCTCTTTTGTTCCCTCTCTAGGTACCATGGAGTATCTCTCATTGACCCACCAGACACACTAAACTTATTGTAGTAATCAAGAGACTGATCTTTTTAAGAGATGTATATTACCAGGAAATGATGTACAGTTTTAAACATGGTTCAGGATCCTAGATATGATCACTCAGAACATGAATACCGGCTTTGATGACTTCAATTATGAAGTTTAGTTTCATGTGGTTTTAATGTAAATCTTTTGTACATGCAATCTTGTTAAGAGTTTTAGCTGTGTTTTTATCAAAATGTTCTCTTCAGGCACAGAATTAACCATGCAGGCCACGTGAAGTCTGAGACTGCTTATCTAATTATAGACTAAAAGTTAATACTAGCAGTGCGTTATTATAGTAGGGCTTTTTCTCCTTCTGAGTAAGAAAGATTTGGTCCCCACAGAGTATCAGTAGCATTTTTATTCTGTCTAGTTTAAACTGAGACTTAGCATAGATCCAAAACATTGCCTTAATGGCTACAAAACTGGAAGAAACTCTCTGGCCACGAGGAGAGCTCCTTGCTGGAACCGACTCATGAAGATCTTTAGGACGTGCCCCAGTTGCTGTATAATGTAGTGCCAGATGCTTCATCAGGGGAAAGAAAGGCTGAATGCTCTGCTGCAGGGACTGCACAGTTAAAACCCCTGCACCAGTTCATACCTTGTGCTTCCACTACGCAGAAAATGGTCTTGCTGTCAGTATCTTCTGGTCCAAGTGTAAAACTGATACTAATCTAAACCCATGGAGTTCCCACTGATGTGTTGGCTGTCCCAAAAGTCCATTGATGCCTACTGAGAGCATTAGTCCTCAGTCTGCTTGCCTTGTACCTCTTTAGGGGTGATGGAGAGGTGAAACTGCAGTGGGTTGAGCTGCTGCTCTGTGGCCTCAAGAGCAGGGAATATCTTCTGACATGGATGGGCTGCATGCAGAGCAGCAGGAATTCTGTACGCCCCTCACGCTTGGGAGGAGCCCCTCTTGGCACACAGCAAAAATGTGCCATGTTGTTCCTTAGTTCTGGAATTGTTACACCAGCAAACTGGCATTCAATCAGCATTAGATCAAGTGGATGTTTACCTTCAGCCTGTGTAAATGGAGTGATGCTGCCCTGTACTGCTGCTGTTGGCATGTAAAGCAGCGAGTGCACGGAAGTGGGCTGAATTGAGCCATTTCCAGGTTGGCTAATAAACAGTTTTTGTATCTGATGTTAGTGGTCTTGCCAAGAGCTTAAAATCACTGAGGGATACTGCTGTCATCTTAAACTGGCATTCATTTCTAAAGCCTTTTGGCAAGGGCTGCCCTGTGAAACCTGTGCCTCTTCAACTTGGAGTCGGTGCTGTCTCTGGTTATCTGGGCACCCAGCAGTATAAACTCCTCCTCACAGATGTCCAACAGCTGTTTGGGTGTGGGCTATTTCAAATAACTTTTTTCAAATCGTCATCTCTGTCAGGCTGAGCAGCAGCTGTTAATGAGAAAGAACTCCTTGTCTCATCCCAGCAGCTACAAAGTTACTCCTCTGCCCCCACCCTTGTGCTGCTGCCTGAGCCTTCCCTGAACCACCTCAACTACAAAACCAACGGTGATCAAAATTCTGGTTGAAATAAGCAGCAGGAGTGGCCTTTTTGGCCAATCTGATCTTCTTAGGATGCGCTTGGACTTTTATGCATGTTCTAATGGTTAATGAAGAACCACATTTCATTGGCCAACAGCCTTTGTTTAGATAAATTTCAGTGGGCTGCTACTGAAATGCTAAAATGAATTTGGGACAGCCTGTGCAGTGTATCATGTCTGGTGCTTGGGGTTGGAAACACTTTAACCTTGCAGGACAGGGAGTTTGCACAGGGAGGAATGTGTTTTTCACTGTGACCTTGGAAAGGCAACTGGCAACGCTGACTGCTAGCAATTACTTGAAGGTTCCAGGCCACAGTGCTCTTCCTGGGAAACTGGGTTCTGCCTTCCCCTTCCTTTCTGTGGTTTATTCCAAGACCACTGAGAAATATCAATATTGGAGGGATAATTTAAAGGCAGCTTATGAAGTATTTTCTCCAGAAAAGGAGCAAGTAGCAGTACTTTAGGTGAAAAGACTTCAGTGGGTTTTAGTATTAATTTAGTGCTTAATCAAAGAGCTGTGCTCAAGTTTCAATGGAATTTGTTCCCATAGCATGGAGGAAAATTCTTCCATGCTCCCTGAGCTTTATCTTCACCATTATCAACCCGACTTCCTCTGCAGCCTAACAAAAAAATCTCCAGTCAGGGGCTGGCATCTCTGCCCAGCATGACAATGTTCCTCCTTCCTCAGGGCAGCTCTTGCTTCTGCTATTAAGTGCTATCTTTTTCCACCTTCTCATTTTCCAAAGTTAATATGGGACAATTCCAGCTTTTGCTTCTATGCCATGAACAAAATATCCCAGGTTGTACTGTACTACTGTTAAGCCTATCCAGGTTAACTTCTGATCGTTTCCAACTCAAGGCTCTAAGGAATACAGGGATGTTACGTGTGAAGAAGGGAGAAACAGCAGTGCAAAAAATACTGTTCTTTTTTCTGAAGAAGTTTACAGTCTTGTGGTACTACAGAACTACAAAGGAACTGCATCTTCACCCATTTTTGTACTCAGGACAGTGACTTTGGGTTGGAAGAACTGACACTAAGAAAATGCACTGATTTAGCTCCTGGAGAAAAGAAGTTTTGTGTGTTGGTCCCTTCCTGAAAGAGCACAACTTGATTCAAGCTTTGCCTGGCTGGGAGCAATGTTATATACATATGGTTTGGGTTTTTTTTTTTTTTACATTAAGTTTTTAACCTGATTTGGGGAATGTAAAATCTGCAACAGTAACTTCTCTCCTGTTCACAGCTCATCTAACACTGAGGTCACCTGTAAAATAGCCCTGCTTCACTCTGTAAATATGTGTGTGTTTCCAGGGTCACTTGTTTGCTAACAAAGTGCCCAGATCAGGTATTTTACAATCCTCCTCGTCTCTTTGTTTTGCCTGATCCTAAACTGAGAGCATAACTCTTCGCCTATAGTTCAAGAAGCATTCCTGTCTGTTGCATGTAATATTTAAGTAAACTTTTAAAGAAACTCCACTGCTGAAGTTCTGTGTTAGTTTGTTAAGTCCATGCATTTCTGCTGATTTTCATACAAAGTGGTCCGGGTACAAGCTAAGATGTGGAGTAGTGGGGGCAAGAAGGTTTTAATCACAGCACATTGATTTTTCCCTGTGAAGAAAGCTGAACTAGGTGAGTTTTTGCTGCAGCTGGATGCCAAACCTAGGATTTCAGTTACAGGCACCATTTTTTTTATTTAAATCTGTGTACAATCATTTAACATTTACATAAAAGCAAAACCAGATATTGGGAGGGGAGGAAATAAAATTATCTACAAAAATAAGCTCAGTAATAATACACCAAAATCCATATTATACAGCATTCCTGCAGGAGGGATGATGGCTTTAATGAGTAGTTTTCTTCTTTCTTCTCCTTTTGTTAAATGCTTTCTTACTTGGATTTTCTTGTTTGGAGCTGGTCTGTGTTCTGTCAGCAAACAACAGTTGTATCAGAGAAACATACTGAGTAGTTTTTCAAAATAACACAGGCTGATTATCCATAACTTGGCAACTCCCCACCAAGCCTGGGGCCAAGGTGTAAGTTAATCTTTTGAAAGTGCACTAACAACAAGGGTTTCCATGGATACAGCAGCAAATCTCACTTCTTGGAGGTAAAATTCAACATCAGCTCTAGTGCAGTACACAGAATATCTGCAGCAGCTCTCAGGAGCCTCTCACTGAGATCCCCTTGTATATTCTCACTCCCTCTGGAAGGACTACAATGAGTCAAATGACCAAAACCATCTCAGACAGCTGCAGGCCAGACAGGTTCTGGCCTCCCAGGACAGAAGAGATTTAGCCTAGATTTAAACTTCCTTGCTCTCAGCTATATATGTATTCCCTTTAATCCATTGAAACCTTTCTTGGCCTTGCCAAAATCCTGCCCTTCCTGGCAGGAAGGAAACTCCTTACAAACTTTTACCCTCCTAATTTCACTTGCTGGTTACCTGGTTTTCCTTGGTAGTTCCTGTGGTTCCAGAATGACAACTTCTTCCTCCTCACTGTCAGACACAACAATGGGTTCATCTAAAAAACACACAACCCCACCAACCCCAAAGTGCTGGTCAGTTTTGTACAAACAACCCCTGTAAATAATAACCACAGCATTTTTAAAGAAACATCCAGAGGGGCTACTGATTCATTTGGAGCCCTCCCCATACTACAGAAATCAACTTTTGAAAAGAACCGACTGGGTCAAGTGGAATTAGCTAATGTGTAAAGTGGCTACAATGGTTCTTTCTTCCTACAGACCTTTCACATTTTAATTATGAACTGTTAATAAAGTGATATAATAAGATCTGATATTAAGAAAACAAATACTTACCACTCTTAGTTTCCTTCAGTGTACTTGTATCCTCAGTCTCCACCTTCTCACATTCAAAAGCAGCTGCCTCACTTTCACCTTCCTCTTCTGCTGCTTCTTCCTTCTCAGATTCTTCAAGGTCTCCCCAGGAGCTCTCTAGTCCTTCCCCAATTTGGGCTGTCCCAGGAGTGTGCACTACTGGACTGGCAGAACTGCAGGAGTTAAGAAAAACCTTGGTGTTTGCTGGTCAATTTCTTTGTATTCTGAGAGCAAACCGGGTGGTTTATAAGCTGGGGAGAGCAGCCCTAAAGGGGAGTTCAGAGTGCCACTTCTCCCGTCACTGTAATCATCACAGCTCTGACCTCAGCTTTGCACTTAGGGCAAGGAATTAGAATCACACTGAACCAAGACCAGGATGATGATGATGAGGATGATGATGTTTCCTCTCAAGGTTATATGGCTACCTAAGCTATGAGGAATCCTAGCTGTGTGTTTAGCCTGGTTTTCCCCTGAGTAATACCCGGGAAAAGATACACTTCTGAGGGAGGGTCAGCTTTAGCAATGATTTCTCCAGCCTGCTCTTCCACATCGTTGGTGTCCACAGCAGCGCTCTCCATTTTGAAGGCAGTGATCCTTTGGTTGGGGATGGATTCTGCAAAGCCGAACTTCCCGCCTTCTTTCCTGGTCATTCAGCAACAGACATTATTTCAGGATAACTAAAAATTGCTTCTCTTTTCAAGTTCAA